AACAGCAGCAGCTGCAGCAACAGCACCAGCAGCAACAACAACAAAACACACACCCACACACACAGAAAGGACACCGATGAATTTTCCGACGAAGTGAAACGTCGATCTCGTTTGTCTCCAGGCCAGGCACCTGCTGTGGGTGGACTTTGTCAGGCCGCCAGGCCGCCTTCGACGCGACGCGTGGGCCGATTGGTCGTGCTTTTCTTTGTAACGGGGGACAACTGCCTTTATTGAGCCAGGGCACTAGATAGGTTTTCCGGTATGGCAAGGAATCTTTTTGAGGGGTCTGCAACACAGCCGCGGCAGACATTCGTTACAGACCTCGATGCAGACCTCTGTAACAAGCAAACCCCGCTGGCTCCTTGAACCCCTCGTTACATAGGATCGTTGCACACCTTGCAACAAGAAAATCGTTGGCTGGTTTCATGCCCCGCGATACATACCTGGATGCATACCCAGACTCGTAGTGATTTCCCACGGGTGCCGAGCAGGCTTTTGCAGAGCACTCTTTCGCTTCAGGTTTGCAGAGAGCTTGTCATTGTGTATGCATTTTCGACCGGATCCTCCTAGTGCCTTGGCCATTGACCTGCCGTGGTGTTAAAGACATCGCCCTCTTTGAGAACCTGCTTCAGTTGGCGTCCAAAGAACTGTTGCAAGGGGGAGCCACTTCCGTGGCTGGCGAGACGTGGGAATGACTTTTGACTTGGGGATTCTTTGGACAGCTCCATTCTCTGAACATGGGTTCCGCGCGTTCTGCATTAGAGTTCTTGCCCCCGCCTTGCGATTGGAATGTGCAGCCGACAGCTGCCAGCGTTTGTCAACTAGAAGGCGTACTCATATTTCATGTGGATGTCATGGGACGCAGATGCGGATCTTTTGACAGAGTTCGATCCGTAGTAAACATCACAGATCTGTTCACTACATGTTCAGAATGCGAAACGAGGTAAGTTCTCGAAGATCAGACGACGTGCATGATTACGCAAACCTTTGGCCGTTGTATGGCACAATTTGAAGGCCACTGCCATCCACTTGGCCACAAAACCTTGGCCAGAAGGTCTGGGCTTGCTACGTTTCAAGAGCAGGCAAGGCGAAAGCGAACGTAGGGGATTGAGGGAGGCTTACACGCCAATGAGTCGTTTTGTTGGGCAACATGCTCAGACGGCTTTGGTTGGGGATTCGACTGAGTGCAACGTCGTGGATCTTCCTGAGCTTGCGAAAGATGTCGCCTGTGAGCGTTGGATAGGATTGCAACTACTCAAACAAGACCCTCCGGGTTCGGTCAACATCTCCTGTCTATGGTCCAATTTCCCACAGCCAGGTGAATCACTAATTTTGTAGTCTCCTTGGGAACTGTGTACCGCCATTGCGGCGTACGGAAAGTCATGAAGGGAGCTTGGGGCCGAGCACCTATTGAGACATGTTTCAAAAGCTGTTTTCTGGCATCCGCATACAGATTGTCGACCTCGATCAAGTTTGCCGGACCCTGTGATCCCATAGTTCGGTCAAAATATCCAATCCCACGGTCAACATGGGACATTGAGGAAATTGGGGACTCACTCCATTCCTCACAGAGCAGCGGGGAAGTCACGAATTCTTCCGTGTCCCCCAGGGTATTCGGACATATTTTGACCGTGGCCATGGGTAGCCACTTTCACAGGCCGAGTGCAGCTCGAGGAACTCTGGGTGGCGCCAAGCCACCTAGATGCGCTGGAGGCAGGGATACAGCAATCCAACAGCAGCTTCCCGCACACCTGCTTTGCGGGAGTGTCCAAAAGGGCCAAATGTGCTCCGCCCGATCTTTCGAATGCCATCCGCTTGGGGGAAGTCGGCCTTTACGGTCTCCCAACTTCGGCAAGAGACAATCTCAGACAGTCTCAGAAGTAGCCGCCATGGGTTCTGCAAAGCTCCTCACACTTGTTTGAATCAATTTCTGCTTCGGCTTCTTGCGAAGTCCAAGAAGAGAACCCCGGAACCGGTATTTGCGCCGCCCCTTCTGTCTTCATTGCTCAAGTGACCTTTCTTTTTTTGCACTTTACTGACGTATAGATATGTATGGATATAATGGATATATATATATATATGCATATTATGTACAGATACACGGGTATGTGCATATATATATATATGTATTATGTGCTATTTTTTGGGGGCTGCATGCAGTGTGGGGCTGGCAGGTCTGGATGCCGCTTCTCTCCCTGTCGCCAGGAGTCGGTGGTTTTCGTGGTGCGCGTGCGAGCGGGTGACCACGACCGCTTGACTCTGCAGGCGGCATCCAAATTTCGGGACCCTCAAAAAATGGCTGGGCGGACATAACTCCCGAAGGGCACAAATTCATGGGTACCCAAAGTGGTGAAGGCCTAACCTTCAACATTTGGCGCGACTCCGTTAGTTTTAACTTGGCACCTTGCAGCACTTTCAGCCTGGAGGGCTTCGATCTCCACCAAGGGAGAATAGAGTATGTAACCTTTATCTAGCGGTTGTATAGGGGCCACATACCTATTGGGGGCAGTGGAAGCTGGCTTCGATGAGCAAACAACGGTATTTTCGGGTATGCGCTTGGCGTATTCGAGGCCCATGTGTCTATCTTAGGGATGGTGTTGCAGTTGCGATTGGCCCTAAGGTGCTAACAGCCGGCCTATGTTGGGATGTGGCAACACCCAAACCAACCATTTAGGCAAAACTCCTTGCAACAGGATATGTTTGTTTGGGTCAGCGAGTTAATAGGAATCAAAACAACATGTTGACCCCTGTAATTTGTCTATGAACTCAATTGACGTAAATTCCGCTATTCATTTCTGAGTCCACCACGGGGTCCTGTCCAATTCATACTCAGATATGGCTGCTACAAAAGAGCTACCTCCCACCAAGAAAGGTTTAGAAGACTACTACCCGCTTGAAAGGGGAGCTTGTGCACTTCCATTGACACAATTCACCAGAATTCCATGCCCAGAACCATTGACCCACTTGTTGTTTCTTGATTGGGTTATTATGATGTCAACCGCAGCAAGCGCGCAAGCGCGCAGGAGGTGCGGCGAGTGGAAGTTGAGCCAGAAGAGCCGGAGGTGTGGATTTGGGGCCATGGGGAGATAATGCAGTTGCTGAGGGGGGGATGGGGCTGATGCTTTTGCGTCATGGGGGCGTCCTGGATCTGATTTTGCTCGCAGTGATGTTGCATGAGCTCCGAATGTGTCGCTTTTTTGCAATTGTGGTTGAAGCAAATGCTTTGCCAGTGCCGGTAGTGTCGAAGGATACAGATAGCTGGGGGTGTATTGCTTGAGTAAAACTTGGGAATATGGCAGGGGCATGGTTGACTGAATTAATGAATTAGGCTTCATTTGGATATAGGTCCAAAGTAAACTGCCCAACCAGAATCGCCAAGCTCCACCAGTTGCCTTGGCACGAACTTTCTTGCTGCACTCCGCAAGTCTTGTGCCATTTCATGAACAGGGATTTGGGTTGTCGAAAGTAGGGACCCCTTCTCGGACTCCTATTTTTGTTGGTGGCACACGTCACATTTTCGGGTTTTAACGAGGGCCGAAGGCCAGTGTTGACAACCCAATTGATGAATTTGGCCAGCATATCGCAGCGCTGGGAACTCCATTTGGGGGTTAGCTGCATGGTTAGTAGCCCTGCTTACAGGTGAACAGGAGGGTGATTGGGGGGGGGGGGGTGAGAGGGGGCCAGCAGGTGCTTGGCTAACTCCCAGACCACACTCATGTTGCTCAGTCAAAAGCGAGACAACCGGGGAGGCATCGAGCTGGGTCTGACGCATCCTTGATGCAAAGCACCTTCAAGTCTTGGCTGATTGCTCAAGCCCGGACCTAGGCAGGACTTTGATGCTTTCTGTGTGTGACCGATGCCCTCCTGCCCGCTTGCATGGAGCGGAGGCGGTGTTTCAGGACCTTTCAGATTCCATGGTGGGATTGTCTGTCACTTTGTCTGGAATTTCCAGGGTCCCAGAGTTCCATTCGCTCAGGGCGACCTGGAGCGACCACGCATTCTGCGGGGCAGCCTTCAGTTGGTGCGGTGCTCAGTGGAGTGAGCGCAGGGCAACACACTGCCATGCGTGCTTTTCGGCACGAAGAACCAGAACCTAGACCCCTAGTCAATGTTCTTCATCGGAACGAGACAGACCTCAACCCCTCAACCCAGTCGGCGCACTGCAACTTGATTCATCTCACGGTCGCAGGAGCTGGACGGCGATCAAGGGGACCTTCTGGGACTCTTTGACGGTTGCGAAGGCGGGTGCTGCGGTGCCCGTTTCTTCGGGTCCCATTGTTGGGTAGTTGTTTTACCCCTTCCCCCCCCCCCCCGCAAAAGAAAAAACAAAAAAACTGAGCCACAAAGAAGGGGGCGTTAAAAAGAGAGGCCCCAATGTAGAAATGGCCCTACTGCCACTAGGCACGTAGCGGCAGACGTAGCGGTTGAGGAGATTGTGCCCTGCCCCCCCCCCCCCCCGGCACCGCCTCTGTGCGGCGGAGAGCTTGCCGAGCTTGTGTCATGTGTCCCTTGGACAAATACAAAAGTCGGCGACCAAAGTTCCAAGGTTGCCAACCAACACGGAGCTCAGAACATGTCCACAAAGAAAAGCGGTCTAATGTTGAGCGCGGATTTATAACCCTCCGGGTTTCCAATCCAGCGCTTATCCTCTCTCAAACATCCAGAGCACGGTTTAAGCTGGACATGCCCGCAAAGCAATGTGGTCGACCGAAATGGTTTGCGAGTCTCTATGCTGACGTGACACCGGGTCCGTACATCAAAACGTCACATGTTAGAGCACAAGCCAGGAAAGAGTCCAGCCGGCAAGAGGAATTCGTTTAGCTAAATTTGCGTATCTGCCCGCAACCATCTCACACAGGGTACTTCGTGGGAAGCCTAACTAGGCGACCAACCCTCATGGCAAGCGCTGGGGGATTTTTTGGGAGCTCAGGAGGATGTAGAGAGAACCCGGGTTTGCAAACCGCTGCGAGAGATACGAGCGCGGTGTCAACATTGCAACACTTCCAGGCCAATTATAACGAGCTCACCTGGGGGGTAAACGGGGTTGGCGATTAATTTCCCAAGTGGCCCCCGGCCAAATTACGATGTCCACGTCCGTCACACTCCGCATGTTTCTGACGAGGCCTTGGCCCGGTGGCCGCGGCTGCAGGCCGCGGCTTCGCTTCGTCCAGTTGAATTAACCAAATATGGTGGGACTTTGAATGCCATGCAATGGAGAGGGGAGGTGTGCCCCTCCAAAAGTCAGGAATCCCCACTGGAAGGGGACAACCCCCCATGAATCAACCAGGGGTTTGTTAATCCAGGGTCAACATTAAGTGATTTCCGAACTTCCGGGCCCAAGATTGATATCCAAATGACTTTGGTCCCACTTGTTGGTTGAATCGTTCGATGTTTGTTCTGATTCACTGGTTGGACGATCGTGGGAGTATGGGGTCCTTCCAAACCTGCCTCGAACTGACTCCGCCCACAGTCCGAAACAACACCAACATCTCCATGGAGCAAATCAAGCCGGGACGCAGAGCAGCCTCGGCATGCCAGATTTGCATGGACCCGAGGGGATGGGTGCAACAAAGGAACCCTAAGAAAATTTGGGGAGCCCTAAACAAGCCGAGGGCTCTCAACTACATCATCCGTTTTTTCGATTCAAAGTGATTGGTGATCCTCGCCCGCCTTTTTTCCGGGGGGGGGGAGGCTGGGATTTGGGTACTGTATATGGTTGTTGTTTCGAGATTAACTTTTTGTTTGGGATCTATTTTATCACGCAGACTGATTTGGGTCCTTTTGTTTTCTTTCAAACTCACGCCAGGTTTTTTCATCCGTCCTTCCAGTAGTATAGCTAGGGCAAGCCATGCTGTAAAACCCAAAGGTAGCCATACCTGGTGACCTACCACAGTGGCCACACGGCCACACGCTCGCACCGGACAGGGCCCGAGCAGGCCTCGGCCTTCACTCTTGAGGTGTCCGCTCCGAGCGAAATGCACGGCTCGGGGAGCGGGGGAAGACATGGTCCGATCCCCCTGCCCAGTGCCCTTCGGCTACGAATTACATGGAGAAACCCCTGCTTACCTACTATAGTGGCAACTGGAAGCAATCTTCTGGCACTCTTTGTGGGTGAACACAGCATCAAAGCTAATGGAATTGTCACCATGCCAATCCAACCACTGTAGTCGGAATCCCAGGCAGAAAGGGAGACATTTCCATCGGCAAAAGGGGTGAAGCGCAAGACTGGGTCAATCACACCGATGATTTCTCATGCACCCCTTTCAAAGCTAGCCACGGCAGAGCCTCTGGATAGGTCTGGCGAATCTGCCATTTGGTCCACTTCCCTTGTGAGGATTCCAAATGGTACTCGCTGTATTTTTTCCACCCATACTACTGGACTATGTTCAATATATTCTTCATCCCTTGCTGAAGGCATGCATCTTCAAGCCACCACTCCCCCTGTTTTTCTCCGTTACGAATGATCCATCATCCGTTCCTGATCCTTCTCTTGTGAAGCTCTCATGAAGTGGCATGCGGGTTGCGTTGGAAACCGCTAGTTCATGGCCATAGCGTCTATGTCTCACCCATTTGGCCATTTGCACTCAAAATGCACAGACATCCCAAAGGGTCCACCACAAAAATGACACATGTTTTATATGGAATTGTCTCCAGCAAAGGGTCTGGACCTTGTTGGTCGTTTTTTTGAGGGTGCTAAGTTGACAGCTTGGGATCCATCGCCAGGGCGCGGTGGTGCCTGGCATGGAGGCCCTTGGATTCTTTCGAGAGGAAAAAGAGTGGGACCCATTCGTTTTTTTTTTTTTTTTCCAGGGTCGAAAGACGGATTGGGTTTCTGTTCCGTTTCAAGTCTTGCTTTGCTTCTTCGGCCCGCAAAAGCTGCACTGGCGGTTTTTTTGGTCTTGTTTGTCTTCTTCCTGATTGCAAAGGGGAAAGAAGCACCAGGTAGCGGTGGTTTTGGCTTTTGCGTCCTCATCATCCTGTACTCGACCTGGTTGTTTTGGGCTTTTCGGATGTGCAGCTTGTTTTTTCTTTCTCTCGTGGCCAAGGTGCAGATGTTCGGATTCTGGATTTTGGGGTTCCGGTTCCGAAGAAGGCATTTTAAGACGCCGGGCTGGGGAACAGGCCGCGTAAAAGGTTGCGTACTTGTTTGAGGAACATTCATGGACATGTAACTTGTGCAATGGGTTTGCTACAGATGTTGCCAAAGTACTTGTAAGTTTGGTTTTGCGGTCTTAAGCAACAAAACAAGCCTTGAATGCTTATGGCTTATGGCCATTAGCAATAAGATGCACTCACTTTACCCACCTTCCGGACAGTTCCTCCCAACTTGGTTGACATGTTGCAATTCATGCTGGTTCAAAGGGATACCACAAGGACACCATCCATTTTTGGGGTCCGCTGCTTGGACACACACCCCAAATGTGTGTGATTGTCGGAGTCTTGTACCAGCTCTTTCTTGGATTGAAATGCCAGATGTTTGGCTCACAGCTCTCTTTAAGACACGGTTCAATGCACAAAAATGGCTGTTCCAAACTGATCAATGGCTCAAAGCACCCACATGGAGTGTGCCGGCTCCCAGGAAATACAAAACACTGAAGTTGATATTCAAAACGAAAACTCAACACTCGGCATGCAGTGTGCAGGAATTCCAATGTGTTCCTGAAGTTCCCCCCGTTGTTTGGCCCGGTCTCGCAGGCACTCGCTCCATTCCTTCAACTGGTTCAGTGAGAGCGCACATCATTCTTTGCAGGATGCTCAAGTGAGCCCCTGCCCTCTTTGAGGGATTTGAACCTCCAAAATGGTGATTTTCCTTTTGGCTTCGCTTCAAAGCCTCAACAAAAATGGCAACCTGAAAAAAAAGAGAGACCCAAATTCCAGACTCAGGGGTAGCAACTAAGGCAAGGGAAAATGTTCGCACAGGGCTGGTTTTTGAAAGACCGAACTGGGGGTTGGTTTGCCTGGGACAAGGCCTGCAAATAAAGCAACACACGAGTAAAGGGGGCTGTTTGCATGAAATGCCCAAACCAATCCCAAAAGTGGAACCTTCCCACCATGGAAGGGCACAGACCCTTGTTGAAAGGCAATTTTCACTTGGACAGGGAGCCTGTGGGAGTGTGTCCCTTTTCAGGTTGGTTCAGGACCAAACGGAAGGCCGCCAGCTTCCCTATCCAAGTCCAACCCATGAACATCCCTATAAATCAACCCTTGGGCCCAAAGGCGTATCAAAATATTTCCAAAACTGGGCGGGCGCCCCCTTTGTTTCCCTAGCCAGCCCTGAAAAGGCAAACCAACTGGGCGGCCCCTTTTGCCAAGGCAAACCAACCCGCACAGCCCTCGACAAGACCCCAATTGGTCTTTTGGCCAGGTGTCTCCAGCACCTTCACCTTCCCTGGCGCCGGCATGGGACCAGGGCCCCAGCTTTTGCCCTTACAGGGAAACCAGGAAGCCGAAGCACCAGGGGTTGATTCCAACAATTCTTTTCAGCCATCGTTCTTTTCAACCAGCCGTTTTCCCTGCGTTTCTGGAGGTTTTCTAGAAAGAAGGATCCCTGGAAAGAATGGGGAAGGTACCCCTGAAAAGCACTTTCCGTTTGTCTGTGTTTGTGTCTGTTTGATTTTGAGGCCTCATGTTTTTGCGGGGGATGATCCTTATCCCATGTTGAGGCAACCTTGGCAAGGGTCCAACGCAAGAAATGGTGTGAGAAACGATTTCGAATCGACCCCCAGATAAGCGGAGCTTTGATCAGATGTGCGAGTTGTCTCAAGCACCTTCTTGAATCCACACCTGCGCCATGGGTGTTTATTTTGGGTGTTGTTGTCACAAGACACGTTTCAGACTTTTTGAAGATCAAAGCGGTGGGATGAATTTGATTGCGCCTTCAAAAACCTCCGAGATGGTTCGCATTTCAGTCCTGCCCAGAGGTTGCAATGACGGAGCAGTCGAGTATTCTGGGGACCCGATCCGGCGATGCCATTCCCACGCCAAACGCAAGCTCGTGCTTCATGCTTCAACTCCAAGGCCGACTTGGTTTTCCAAATTTGGTTTATATGGCTGTGTGTCAAAGCAGGGGGGCCCAACAAATGGTGGGTTCTCTTTTGTTTCCCTTTTTAACCCACTCCCGCACGGGATACCATCAAAAAACCACTGCCCAATATTTTCCCAAGGAACATGTGTTGCCTTGCCTTGGAAGACCCTTTTGATTCGTTGAATATCCGGCTTGCTCGACATCCCGATTCCATGTGGTTCACCTTGTGGCAACCATCCCAATGTCCCGCCTGAGGCCTTCTCTTTCCATCTCGCAGAAGGAGCCCGCACACGTGGATTGGTTTGGGTTTGGATTTGGATTTGGGTTTTGTGTGTTTGTTTGCTTGTTTGTTTGCGTGTTTGTTTGTTTGTTTGTTTGTTTGTGTGTGTTTCTATGTGTGAATCTGTGTGTGTGTGTGTGTGAGTGTGAGTGTGGGTGCGTGCCCGTGAGCTGTTTCGGTTTGGTCAGCTGGCGTAGGTGTGGAGCAGAACTCTGCGACCTTTGTTGCGGAGTCAGGTTTCGCCACTTGACATTGTAAGAGTCAAGTTGTTCGCTGCTGTTTTTATTGTATGGACAGCTGCTCAAGGCACATCTCAAGTGCTTTGAGCTACAAGTCCATGGCGATAGCAGCTTCGGGAAATGCAGTGCTTGGATCAAGCGCGGGTGGAAGAACAGGTGGCATTCGTGTATTTCATAGCACATCAGGACAGAGAGAGGGAGAGCAAGTTGACACTGGTTCGTTGCCGTGTCATGTCAAAGCACTCAGGATGAACGCGCAGGCGATAATTCTTCACCATTCCGAGAGGCCCTGCGCACGCCCAAATTTCAAATGTCCGGTGCTGAACGAATTGGTCTCAAACGAAGCGACGATTTCCCGTTTTCCCTTCAAGGCCAATTGCAAGGGGTTCAGGAGCTGAGGATGCCCGCACAGGCCGGGGGAGCGGGGGAGTTGGGGGTTTGGTTAGGGCTTGCTCCGGAAAGTCCGTCCGTCATGATGTACGCAATTGGTACTCTGTGGGGTGGAGGTGGACACCACAAATTCAGACGATTCTTCTGGCCATTCTATGGGGGTGTGGCAGACATTGGTGCTAGGGTCAGATCCACTGTCCTCAAGAAACATGCTTCGCAGGGCCTCCATGTCTGCGTGGGATAGATGCCATGCTGACCTATGGATGGGAATATCCAGAGCAATGGCCCGCATCCCGGCACCCCTATACCATTTGTATACCCAGGACCAATTTACATAGGCCTGACATCTCAAATGGGGTACTGTATACCTGCAACTCCTGTGCGGGGTTGGGCCCAATCTTGGGCCGACGGAAATCACGGCGCCGCTTTCAAATCTTTGGCATGCGGCGCAGGGGGTGCCCTGCAGCTGCTGACCCGGGTGCTGGAGGAGGCTGCCTTGGAGTTGCGGAGGTTCAGGGCGTGAGGGGGCTGGGGGCCACGAGGTGCAGTGGTTTGCCTTCAACCACTTGGTGGGCTGAAAAGCACCTAAGGGTCCGTTCACCCGGATGGAAAAGGTCTTTCCCATGTCGAGCTGCAGCTCACGCAAGAAGCGAACTTGACTCTTGACTGGGAGAATTGCAGCCAGCTTCCTTGCCATGATGGACAGGTTGCAGGCGCAACCCTCTCATGAATAGCAGCCAATCAAGGGCTGGCCGTTGCGACAACTTTCTATAATGTATAAGCCAATGAGCCAAGACATCAGTCCCAGATCTGTGAACCTGGCTGGTATGCCAAAATCATTGACCCCAAGCTGCCAGATCAAACGAAGGGGTTTGGTCTCCTGTGATTGGCACTTACCGAGCCTCTTGTTGAGCGTGAGAAGTGCGATCTGAGGCAAAGTGTACCAATGAAGACAGACTGCTCAAGAACCTCTACAGCCTGTCGCAATGCCATTGGCTGTGCCACACTCAGCATGCTGTGAGCGCTATGTGGACTCGAAAGGGGGACGTGAGGGCTGGAGACCGGCGCTCGACATCTTGGAGAACCGCTTCAGCTGCAACATGCGCCGCAGGTTCAAGCTGGCGCGTCCAAATGCCCATGAGTGAAACACCAATAGCACCTGTACAGCTGTCAACTTGCCCAGAATATAGAGGAATCGGAATGATGATGGCTCTGGAGGTGCAAAATAGCCATGTTTTTTCCAGACCCCCCATTTAGCAACCATCAAATGTTTGACCCCCCCCCCATGCCCATTTCCTACTGTTTGGGACCACAGCCAGGCGCATGAAATACGAGCACCACTGCTGTGAATTGACCCCGCGCAACCTTTTGCCATAGTGCGGCATTGCATGGTACCTGTCAAGGGATTTGGAGCCCCCAACCAGGTGGTTTTCCTTTTGTTTCTCCCTCTAAACCGAGCCCCAGAGAGTCCAACCCTGAGCCCATGTATGCCTGCGGTTGCTGCCCGGAGCGGCACAAAGATGGCTGCGGTCTTCCGGAGCCGGCGGTTGGTATGCCGTGGGATGTGGTGCTCTTGTTTCCTTCCGAAACGTTTGAACAAATCGGCGAAGCAATGAGGGCCGAGGGCTTTGTTCCCATTGCCTCCAGGGCTTTGTTCGGTTTGTTCCGATTTTTGTTGGCAGAGGCCCGAGGGGCGTTGGGGCGTTTGTTGTGACCCTTTGCCTCAGGGCTGCAACCCAAACATGCTGAGGCCGTTGGGCTCAAAGGCATCGACGGTAGTGCCCTATTTGGATTTCAGTACTGTTCAATATTGGCTGTCTACAGTTGTTCAAACGAACACTTCACGGCGCAATTCAGCCAAAGTACCGCAAAAAATAGGGGCTTACCTACCAACATCCAATTCTAATGGGGCGCCATGAATGAGACCATGCATCGTTGTGTTGGGAAAGAACAAAATTACAGGTATGATGAATGTGTGAAAATAGGGGAGCCCCAAAAATGGCGAGTTCCTTTTGGTTTCCCTTCTAAACCTCCCTACCCCCAAAAGCACCAGTCCCATTCCGAGGAGCCCGCAGACCCTCGACAGCAGCTGCAGCAGCTGGTCTGCAGCTTTGCCCCTCGGCCTCAGGGTTGGTCAACCCTGGTTCTGTTGTTTCCAACAGGAGCCCTGTGGTTGGTTTATATACTTGCAAATTCGGGAGTTCCAATCAACATGGTTCATTTTTCGAGGCAATTGCATGGTAGTTTCACGAATTCAGGACTATACTGTATATATAAATGGAGCGTCCTTTGTACCGTCTGCGAGCACAAAGCAATTGTATGTCACGATGTGGAAGTCAAACAAGTCAGCGCCATTTCTGTCGGTGTTATGTCACATCTGCAAGTCCAAAAACAAATGCCTTCTGCTCATTAAAGTCTTCTCACCGTCCATTGCACATGTACTTGAGGACCAGTTTGGAAAGGAATTCATATTCAAACTGCGAATAGCAATTCAGATTGAATTCCTTTCCGATTAAATCAACTTCATATTTGGAAAGGAGTACCTTTTTGACCCCTCATTCAGAACAGACCAGTACCTCATTTGTTTCTGTTCGAATTCTAATTAAGTCTTAGTTAAAGTCCTATTGGCATAAGGAACCTTGTAAGGAACCTTGTAAGGAGCCTTGAGAGGAGCTCTTTATAATAAGCTTTATTCATTTGCCGGGCATTGCATATAACTCCTGCCTGTATTTTGTTCCATCTGCAAATTTAAATAAACTCCTTTATATTTTAGTATAGATTTTATATTACGATTCCATCGTTATTGAATTCTAGTTAAACTTTATCGGACTCCTTTTGGAACAGGCAATCATACAAATAAACTTCTGTTTTACAACTGCTTTGAAATTCAGATTACATCATTTCCATATGAATTTCTATTACAAATAGCATATTAACATGAAAATAATGCTTCCTCCGTAAATGCTCATTCGGAGTAGAACTTCTACGCAGTTGATTGTTTATCAAATTGTTTTAAACGTCTTTTTGCAACAACATCCTATTTGGTATAAGAAGCCGTAAAATTTTAAAGGATCTTTGAAGGAGCTCTATTAAGGAGCTTGACAAGAGGCATGATAAGGAACATTATAAGCCTTTGATAGGAGCTTTACAACAATCTATATAAATAGCCCTATAAGGAGCTTTGTACGGAGCCTTATAAGGAGCTTTACAATGAGGCTTGTGAGGAGCTTTTATAAGGAGCGCCTTGTAAGGAGCTTCATACGGAGTGTTACAAGGAGCCTTGTAGGGAGCTAGCCTTATGAGGCTTGAGTCAATAATTTAAAGCCAGCTGTTGAGTTCTGCTTTAAAATCGAATTTCAACTGTCCTCATTGAAGTCGATTTAGATTCTAATATTTGTTAATCAAATTCCCTTGGTAAGAGACTCCTCTTTCAGACTGATCTAGACTGAGGTCGCTGACTGCGCTGGTAAAAGTGTTCAGCAAAAGATGCCAATGCATATCGAAGCAAGGCGTGTGAATATATGGTCGCACCTTCAGCAAGAACGTAAGGAGCAAATCTCAGCAAAAGAAAAAATACAAACAATACGCACTTTGTTGGTTTTTGGGAGGGTAGTGCAAGAAAGTAAGATAACCGACAGAAAACACCAAACAAGCTGATATCCCTCACAAAAAGCAAGAACACGAGGTGTAATTTTGATTTGTGGACATGTGGCCTTCTAGAAAACAAAGAACGCCTCGAGTTTTGAACACGCTTTCATGATTCTGCATCTGGTACATGAGTCTACAACTCATAAACACCACGATACCAGGCAGTCTGGCATTAAACATGTGTACAGTTCAAAGATCAAAAGTAGATCTTGGGGGGGCTGACCACATATACATGTATACAATAGTTGTGAAGGATAGCTTTTGCAGCGCCTGAAATAGCAAGATTGGGACCTTTGGCTAGCGCTCCAATTTGCTTCGAGCGATGCAAGCAGCACAAGACACTTTTTCATTAGCTGTCTTTGTTGCTTTGCAAATTTGGGCGTGCTCTGCTCAGTTTCGCGATTCCTTTCAGATGGCGGAGTTCAAAGGTCAGCTCAGTTTCTGGTGTATGCGACTCAGCGCGAAGTGTACCCATTGCCCGGCAAACTTGATGGTCTGCAACAAACATGTTTAAGCACTTTTCTTGCTGAACTAAACCGCCCCAAGACCCTGAATGCGGCCGAAGTGACTGTCTTGAGCCAAAGATCCACGAGGTTGGCAGTCATGGCTTGAAAAGCATGCTATGCTACACAAAATTGCAGTGAGCCAAAATCCCTCGCTCCAAATAGACCATTTAAAGAAAGGTCCAGGACTTCTAGGGTTGATGCTGCTCAGGTTTACGAGGCCACAAGCAGAGGCGGGGAGAACGCGCCGGGGTCAGAACCTTCCGCTTCGAAGCGCTTGGGATCGAGTCGGTGAGACCGCAGTCAGAGGAAATGCCAAGAGTTACCCCATCCTCACTGAACATATGGGACACGCATGTATCCCGTGCTTGACGTACCATGGCGTGCTGATAGGTCAAGTTTGCCCAAAAAGGGTAGGCGACCTCACCCAGGGCGACCTCACCCAGGAGGGTTCCCATCTGGTGGATCACTCGTTTCAGTTTGGTGAATTATGCTAGTTTCAACGGATTCCAAAGACCCTCCCTAATCGCCTCTCCCCCTTTTTCCGTCAAACTCGGAGGGAGAGGAGAAGCTTCACCAAGAATTCCTTCGTCTTGGCATCCGTGAGGCCAGCCCTGCCGCGTGCTCCAGCCGCCGGAGGAAAGCCGGGAGGCGGAGTACCGGCTGCTGGGCCATGCCGAGCAGCTGGAGCGGGATGGATCATAGCGTCCCTTACCAGGGGGCCAGCTAGGCCAGCTAAAGCAAATGGGTATAGAACCACCACAGAACCGCAGGTTTTGGCCCTTTCCATTTACAGGGTTCCGTTTGAAAATGTTTGCTTGACCCACCGCTTTGGGAGGTATCCTTGTAAAGTGAGCCCATTTGCAGTTTTCCTTCTGGATTCAGAGGCGTAGTGGGCGGTTGACGATGCCTTCCAACAGCCCAGCAAGAAAGCGGGTAACGAAAAGGAACCTCCACAGTTGCGCCATGGTCATCCATGGTCAAAAGCCATTGGGTAAACAGGGATAGGCATTTAAACAACTGCAAGAGTTCCTGGGATCCACATGACCCATACCCACCCGCACCCATCCATATCCCATACCCATACACCATACCCCACACTCAGAATTTACCGTCCCAGTCTCAGGAGCTGCGGGCCGCTTCGGCGACCCTGGGCTGCTGGGATCTGGAAGACTTGTCGCTGCGCCGCGCGGAGGACGCGGTGCACAAAACGAGCGCACTTTACGTAGGTCGTTGACTTGGGGATCCAAATTTCTGAGTTCAGGTTTTGGAAGTATTCTGAAAAATGCAGATTTCCAGCTCGGTGGGATATGTCCAGTAGTTAAGGGTCTATTTGGGAGGGGCATGGGCTGCTCTCTAAATGTCAACCACAAAACCAGGGGCTCTGGAATTTGCTCATGTCCTGTGAGGGTCTCGAAATGGGCTGCAAAAAATCGCTGTTCCTTGCATGTTGTTGCATTGCAGCTTGGTGATCTTGGATAGATTGGTAGTGGTAGGAGTGGTTTAATCGTTGTGAACTGCAATCCATACGTCATGCCTTGACTTGTTTGGGCTCAATCAACTGAATGTGCTCGGTTGATGTGCGAGCTTGAAAGCTTGTCTGAAGGCAGTGATCCGGGAAAAAGCTTGCCGTGGCTCGTGGGCGCATTGGGGGTGCAGCAGTTTTGCTTTGGCCTTCCTGTTCAACAGCCCTAAAGGCGGTCCCCTCAAAAGAGGCACATGAATGTACACCATTAAGACCACTTGTGCCGAAGGAATTCCAACGCATGAGCTGTATGCTTTGTGTCTTTCTTGGCGGGGTTGAGACTCTTCTCAGCCATGATGTGGGTGTCGTTTTTTAGGGGGAT